TTTTTTTTCAGATTTTTGCAAAGCCGCATCCATGGATGATTTGCGCATAAGGGTCTCTCATTTTAAACGCATTCTTTGACTTAGAATCTTTGTTTAGATGGAGCGCAGTTTTTTAATTGCTAGTTTGATGTTACTATTTGTGATGAAGACGCTATTCATTACTCACATCGTCTATATATTCCTATTCAACATAATGTCTTCTTCTTGGCGTGTTCGCAAAATCTACATATTGCGTTATAGGTGAAAGGTACCATCCAGGTGTTGGAAAGTGCACGTATGCTGAGCAAGTGCAGCGAGAAGTTGTACATGTTTTATGCACTGGTCCGCAACCATTCAGTCATGTGGGTATACTTCATTTCTGAAATCAGTTGAAATCTTACGTTGACATAAGCGGAAGAGAGCAGACTCTATATACTTATCTCCAAGTTCAAAATCGTGGACCTTGCTGAAGCTTCTCTTAGGGAGTTGTTTGGCTGGCTGGTCGCGAATATCACACCCATTCCACGCGATATGGTCCCAGTACGGGGTTGCGGTAGGTAGAGGGGCAGGGATCACCGTTTATTCAAAAAGATGCCTAAGGGGATATCTGGCGTTTAAATCACGAATTTCATATTCACTCCACATGATATGGCCATACGTAGGAGATAGGTAGGTACGGGTGCGTGTCATTACTTGTGACTCTCAGCAAAAACTGGCCGCACGCGCGGCCAAATCTGCTCCGCGATTATCATTGGTGCAGCGCGCGGGTGCAAAGAACTCGTCCCACCGTGCATTGCAAACCTTGCTTAGGGATCCGGGTTTCTAAAGGTGTACTATTACAACCCTGAAGGTGATACTAATTGCGTTCCTTTAGGGGCTTAGTTTTTTGCCGTTAACACGTACGGAGTTATGTCGCACTATTATCCATTGCCGTTCAATTATTTGGAGGAAAATAATTAAATGATGTGTTTGCATCACCCTCGTCGTGTTTTTTTCTTTTCTCTTTTAATACAACACTTTTTGTCTACGGAATCAAACCATTTCAAACTTTTTACAAGTGAGAGTTTGCAGTGAAATCGTAACTCAATACTTGCACTCATATTTCAGTTACTTCATAGAAAATTGGCATATGAGTACTTTGAGAAATTTGTAACTTTCTCATTTTTTTGAGATTTATAGACGGCTGGCGTCGTCTTCAAATCTTCCAAATTGTATTCGAAGTCAAAGCTCTTCGATCTATTGAGGTTACCTTGCATGAATCTGTGCGATGCGTGGGCTACTGTCCGAGTGCCGACCGCCGCTAACTGTGTGATTTGCCGCGCGCGATGCTTGCATTATTGCCACTCACAAGTAATGACCG